GAGCTTTGCTTCCATCTAGTTTTAACTTTCTTAATGAGTGAGGCTCTCCCTGTTTCTACCGGAAAAGAATATTTCATAGTCTAAAACTCAGCTCATTACTTCTTTTTTATATATTTGCAAATTTACCCCATTATTTATGTTTACTGCTTCATTAAGCAGAGTGACTATGCCTACTTTTGCTACGGCAAGCAATTTTCTTCTCTGTTATTCACGCTTTCTTGGCTATAAGGAGAGAGATGCTATTTTAAAGTAGGCCTGAATCGATTTAAATTGAGAAAGAATAAATCTGTGGAACAGTAATAACTAGAATTAGCAGATACTGACCTCTGCCAAGGTGATAACTGTTCCATATCACAAAGGCATATATCATGACTCACACAGAATAGGAGACATCTCAGGACACATGCAAAGGATGCTGGATCTTCATGGGAAGCGAACGTCCAGAATGACACTGATCCTGCTCAGGTGCTAAAATGAATAAACACCCATCCATTCACTGTGGATGGAAATCACCTAGGCTAAGAAAATGGGCTCCAGATAAGTTCTACTTCAGCAATTGAAAAGGGCATCAAGGAAATGCTGTTCTGAGATTTAGAAGTGTTCTAGTAATTAAAGCTGTTTAGAGCACAGGGGATAATTAATTTTCAATGTGAGGTTCAAGGCATATTCTAACTCCTCTCCTGCACACTTGTATTCAGCTCTATTTTTGATTTTTTTTTATTACATCATGGATGATATTTTTATTTATAAGATGATTACTTTATGTCTAATTAAATGTAAATAGATGCAAGGGGAGACTTACTTTCAGCACTTATTTATCTGTTGTCATGGGACAAAGGTAATAATGAAAAATGAGAAGGGCCTGGGGAAAGAAACCCAATTCTGATGGCCATTTTATATCATATAGATACTGAAACCAGAATACATACCCATAATGCAAATCAGATTCTGGGTTTTATTTCCATGATTTGCAAAAATTAATTAATCTGTAATTCATAATACCTACTAAGTTTCTAACTTCATAATATTGTTGGGAAACAGAAATGCCTGAATAGTGTAAAACAGAATGTTTATAAGATTTGATAAAACTGGCATCAAAATTTTGTACACTTATCTGAAAACCATGTTTTAACAAACTGACTACAGTTGCTTAAAATCATTTGCATTGCTATTCATGGTAAGACTTCAACACTCATTGTTACCTGGAAATTCATATCAGTGAGCATATTGATCACACTGTACCTCACCTTCCTTTGAGGGGAGATCTGCTGAACTTTTGAACCTTTCAGTGACTGAATATTATATATATATATCACTGTGCAATTTGACTTGAACACCAAGAGCAGGTAGGAGGAATAAATAGGGAGATTGCTAAGCAGTAAGAGAAACAATAAAGTAGAAAAATCTCTTAGCTTATACTTGCATTTTGATGCCCTCATCAAATAATGTTTTTAAAAAGATGTGCTTTAAAAATTATTAGTTCTCAGTTTACTCCAGCAGTCTTCATTCCCTTATATCTTTCAAGTACCTTTCACAGCTGTTTTAAAACACATAGCTGTTTTAAAACTCCTTGACTAGACTCTTTGTTTTATAATACAGAAAAAGGGTTGCAATTTGCATTTAGATTATGTTTTCTTTGTAGGGATATCACACTGGATGTATGAATTTCACAGTCCCACTTCTCACAGAAGTTCTTAGTATGGCCTGTGCTCTTAAAACACATGATCAAGGTAAATACACTTCTGTGAGAGAGAGAGATAGATAATGAGTCAACAGACTTCATATCATCACTCATAGGAAAATGTTGAAATAACTTTCACAATTTGAAAATATTACTGCAGCTATAACCACTAGTACCATCTTGGTCTGTAAATAGGACAGATCGGCCTCTCCAAAGACAACTACCTTCCTTAACCTTATCCTGTATTTTTTTTTTTTTAATACATGTTGTTTCCCAAGGCAATTAAGAACTGGATATTAAGAACTGGAACAGAAACCTAAAACATTAAAGTGAACAATTTCACAAACACAAATGAAAGAGAGACCAGAAAATTACAGAATCTATTTAAACAACAAGCTGTCAGCCTACGGACAAATGAACTTAGTAGATTTCAATAATCATATATGACATCTCCTCTTAACGGCACCTGGGAAGGCCAAACATGATGCAGCTGCTCCTGACTGGATGGCAATGATGACTAAGGACAGAATTTTCCAAACATGACCTTCCTTCTCCACAAGCTGGATTGCCAGAAGCGCAGCTCAAGGAAACTAATACTTTGCCTGATTTCTTTTCCATCACAATGTCTCTCTTTCTTGAGCAAACCAGGCAGAAAAAAAGAGCATCAATAGCAGCTTTTTAAGAAGGACTTCATTTGTTAGCTGTCACTAATTTAATTCCTATGTACGTTTCTGTGCCCCCAAGCAAACAGATGATAAGATTCTGGGGGTAAAAAAAGAATTGGGTAATACTTCACATTGCAGCCCAGTAATAGGCTTATTAAATACCAAATCGATTTGCTAATTAATTAACCCCCTCAATATCTTTGTAAGGTGGTGTGAGTTTTCAGAGGGTGCTGTTCTTTTTTCCTCAGATGAGGAAAACAACAACTAAGGAGTGGAAGTATGCTTCCAGTGAGCAATGAGATCCCTGTGTTACCAGGGTGTCTGAGGGAGAACCCAGCCAGTTCAAAAAGAGAGGGAGTTTTCAGCAGAGCATTTGCTTTGAAAATTTCACTCTGGCAATAATTTTCTCATTTAGCCTTGAACTGCTTCAATCTACTAGTCTGACTGGACCATGACAAACCTAGCTGACTCAGTGAGGTTTCAGAGTAGTGGGGAAGAGCAAAGAGCACAAGCAACTTTTCTTCCTGGGATTTAAAGGGTATCAGCTACCTATTTCTTATTTGTATTTTAATTAGCTATAGTGTGGATATGTGCCAGGAAGTGTGGCTGGAGAAAGATGCTATTGTTTTTAATTCATTATTACTCTAATGTTTATTTTATTTAATGTCAGGAGCACTTAAAATTTTAAGTAGGCCTTCTTTCAAGATGCATTTAAAGCAAAAGAAAAAAACCTAGAATTATTTCAATGGAGCCACAATAGGAAAAACCCAAAGCATTTACTGGCAACCTCTGCCTCAAGGACCTCACATTTAAAGAGGTAAGAGGCAGGAAAACAAAGTTACATGTATTTTTTACATGTTTCACTACTGGCACAGATGCAAGGCTGAGTACTAAAGAGAGGGTCTTGTTAAGTTGTCCCAGCATGGCTGTATAAGAGATGAAAAAGATACTGAAGCAGGTGTGGGGAAAGTAAGTCCCTACTGACAAAAAATAAATAGTCTGTAATTCTAGTTTAAACAGTAGAGCTGGGAGTCATCTCGCCCATGTTGAAGGTGACTGGTGGGTCAAAGGCGATGAGGACGGAGCTATTCAGTTCATTGTGATTTGTCTAGGACATCATTAGCTATTTTGACAAATGAGGGTGAACTGTATTACAACATGATCAAGGGTGAAACCGAATAGCTACAACCGTAAACAGCATAATCATTTACCTTAATGACAGGAAAGGGGAGCTGTGGTAATTGCCAGAGAACACATGGGGTCAGCACTGTTCTTTAATACAGGACAGACGGATGTGTGCAATGAGAAAGGCAAGAATCCATAAAGAGTGAAGAGGTAAGAAAAATGAAGAAGGGCAAACAGCGGGTGATCAAGGAGATGGAAGTCAGTGGGAGTTCTCTGCAGGAAAGATGAAAGATGTCACAGAAAGATGAAGTAGGAGAAAAACTGAAGGTAGCCATGATAGTTGCATTACAAGTGGTTTTCTTCTTGGAATAAAAGGTAAGACCTTTGTGGAAGAAAGGACCTGATTGAGGAGAGAAACAATGGCTAAGATTATGGATACAGCATTCATTTCTATCATAAGGACGTTTACTTAGGAATAATGTATTTGTTAATGGCACAAATTAGGTGAAGATAGTTTTAGCTGCTCAGATGACCCTTGTAATAGGTAAAAGGTGTCCAAAGAGCCACGCAGGTGTGAGCCAAGGAGAGAATCGATACCCAAATGAAGAGCAAGGAGCAGCAAGTGGGAAGCTACAACAGCAACAGCAGACTGAAGGCAAGAAAAAGGCAAAGTGGGCAAAGAAAATTAACTTGTACCCTCACATCCCCGCTCTCCAGCTGGAGAGCAAGGACACAGGCACAGCCTAGGGACGGCGCTCGTGAAGATCATTATCATGACAGCTTTGGTCCGGACAGCCATCACAGGAATGCAGCAGGACAGGGGCTGAGCAGGCTGACGGGGCCAAACCACACTGGTGCCCTTGACATGGCAACAAGGGGGCTCCTCGCACTTGGGAAGACACGAGAGTTTCACGGTAGCGGTGCTCGCGCAGCCTCAAGGCGAAGCCCCAGAGCCCCGCACTGAGGGGGGCCGGCACCCCCCTCCCCTCAGCGCCCCCAGGCGCCTGCCTGC